GGGGAATGGGGAATGGGGGAAGGTGGGAATTGGGGAAGGTGGGAATTGGAGAATGCGGAATTGGGGAATGTAGGAATTGGGGGATGTGGAAATTGGGGAATGTGGGAATTGGGAAATGTGGGAATTGGGGAATGTGGAATTGGGAAATGTGGGATTTGGGGAAAGTGGAATTGGGGAATGTGGGAATTGGGAAATGTGTTAATTGAAGAAAGTGGAATTGGGAAATGTGGGATTTGGGGAAAGTGGAATTGAAGAAAGTGGAATTGGGGAATGTGGGAATTGGAAAATGTGTTAATTGAAGAAAGTGGAATTTGACAATTTGACAATTTGACAATAACTTGACAATTTTTAAATGCAAACCGTGCACGAATTAAAAAAAAGAATAAACGAATCCAAAATTAAATTTCCACTATTGTATCAACAAGTATGACACGATGAAAATACTGATTGTGACATTGTTTCATCGAAACCATGTTAATAGAATGCAGCAACCGCATCAAGTATAATTAACATACGTAGATTTATCTGCTACCCTGTAACACAGTTGCCCTGCTTTTTTGCAACTAATTTTTCTCTAACGATACAGCGATAAAATCGTTGGGAGCATGGCGTGTTAGTGTTACTAATTGCATGCAAACTCGATGCACATTAAATCATGAATTTTAATTAACGTCTACAATATTTTATATAAAAGTGGAACGATAATTTGAACTGTCGCTTTGAATTAAAATGCAAGCAACCTTGATAGAGTAAGATTTACGGTGTGTAAAAGTTAGGTGCATGATGCAAACATAACCTGTTTGCAACTTATTCAGCTACCAATTTGAAAGTTTCAACTATTATACTTGATAAAAAATATTTTATTATTGGAATAGGTTCTTGTGTAATTATTAACCTGTTACATTTATAATTTCTAACTTGAATTTATAATTTTTACATTCTTTTACGGTTGCGTTAAATTCAACCAATCACTCTTGCAACATTAACCTAACCTAACTTAATCTAACCTAACCTATAACATATATAATTTCTAACCTTAATTCAATATTTTTGCTACAGTTGCATCTAACAGCCAACTAATCTCTCTTTCAATATTAACCTAACCTAACTAAACCTAACATAACCTATGAAATATATAATTTCTAACCTTAAAGATCCGAAGACCTTAAAAATGAATCATCGTTACTTTTACAGCACAAGTTGTCTCGCTTCGAAATATCCTGTTGGTCAATCCTTGTCGAAAAATCTGCACGGACCGTTTAAAAAAACCGGCGCGCCATTTCAAGCTGCGTTTGTCGAGCGCGTGTCGCGAATTCGAATCACGTTTCAATGAAAATTGCGATCGAGATCGTGCTACGCCTTTTTATCGATTCGCTGTTCGATACAGTTCAACAATACAATTATTGTTTTTATTTGCATCGAATTATGCAATATAACAGGGGGTTGAGCAAGTTTAAAAAAGGAAGACGGTTATTTAGGGACTTGAGTTTTCTAGGGACTTTAAAATACAGTATTCTAGGGTCTTCGTATCCCGAGAGAAGATTGATCTGGGTTATTAGAAGAAGAAATTATTCCTGGGATACTAGGGTTCTTTAAAGTATTGTTATGTTCTGGGGTTCCCTAGAATTTTGAGTATGCAGAATTTGGGACTTGAGGTGTTTGGATATTGTGGAATTTGGGACTTGAGGTGTTTGGGACTTGTGGAATTTGGGGGAAGGTAGAAGTTGGGATTTGTGGAATTTGGGACTTATGGAATTTGGGACTTATGAAATATGGGACTTGACGAATTTGAGACTTATTGAGTTTGGGACTTATGCAATTTGGGACTTATGGAGTTTGGGACTTATAGAATTTGGGACTTATAGAATTTGGGACTTGTGGAATTTGGGACTTGA